ATCTTCTTTTCCAAAGAATTTGGATTTATTCTTAATTCAGCTATTTTTATGCTGAAGTATGAAAGATAAACACCAGGATGTGGGCAATTGGAAGGGAACCATCAATCTTTCAAATGAAGATTTTTTTCTGATTTTGCCATACAGTCGTCCTAGAAATGAGCATTTTGTGGCAGCTTTTTGATGTTCCTCACTTCTTTAACACAGCAGAAACATCTACTGTTTCCTATGCTAGAAGACAATATGGATGTTTTAGAAGGGATATTTGTCATCTTCAGAGGAGCTTAGTATTAATCTCAATCAGCTGATGGAACTAAATGTTTAGGAGTCAACAAACTCTGAGAGCAAAGCTTATAAATAGTAGCTGCAGTCCTTCTCCCTGTGTCCCAAGCACTTGAAGCTGAACCAGGGCTTTGGATATCATCAATCTGAAGCCCTTTGCCTGAAACCTCCCCTACATCTTCCCAGCAAGTCCTGCACTGCAGTATGGCTCTTCCAGCTGGAGTAGGATTCTGGAACAACACAGGGGCACTGGCCTGCCTTTGGCCACTTCTGTGCAATGGGCACATACCTTGATGTCAGGCAGTAAATACACAGCACATGATGCTGAACTCATCACGCCACTGTTAGACTGCACTGACTGGAAGGATTCTAGAGGTACCCTCTAAACCCCCATTCAAATGAAAATAAAGGGGGATTAATATCAGATTTCAAGTTAAAAAAGACTGTCTAACTGGTGGTTTTGCAACTACTAATTACCTTGTTCTGAACCACTTCTGTTGTGCCTGCACGTGCCCCAAAGGCACAGTCCTGTGAGCCATTGCCAAGTACAGAGTGGCACAACTGGGCTTTGCAAGTATCTAAAATTAGCACCTATCCCATGGGTCCTAAAAGGAGTCACAAACTTGGCTGTGACCCAAGACTCTATGGGAAGTATTTTCTTTAGCTGCACCTTATGAGCAGTGAACATCATTCACATTAGGAAACTGCAACAAAAGATGGCATGTAATGATAATTAGCATGTCTTTTAAGCAGTAGATAATGTCCTACAAGCTCAAGGTGAACTAGGCCACTGGTTTTTAAAAGACACATAAAAAAAACCACTGTTGAAGAGACATTCAATGCAAGCCTGGAGACCTTTGAAGTTTTAGACACTCCCAGTCCACTTATATTTACCACTATTTTCTAGGCTGCAGACCTTTAAGACAGTACCTTCTCTTGCTCTTCATTTTTCAGTATGTCTCTTCTATTGAACTTTTCCATGCCTTTAAAACTACTCTGGTCTCTTACAGAATACATTTTCTTTAGGTACAAGAGAAAGTATTAGACTAATCACTACATTTTTGATGTGCTGCTTGTACAGCATGCCAGTTCAGAGAGTTTCACCAGTTTATGCAGTTGGTAAAAGAATCTTTACCAATCAAACTGCTCTCAGCAGATTGTAGTCAGGCTAAGGAAGGTTTCATTACACACAATTCTCTACTAGGGGTTGTTTCCTGACAGTCTAGGTGTCCCACATTTACATCCATAATCTTCATCAATACCATAAGATATATGGATACTGTGAGGAACTGCAACTAGAGTCCTAATAGCACCTCTACCACTAGATCAGGATGCCCATCCTTATGGAATAATTATTCATCTTCAAGCCCTGAAACATTTAGGGAACGCTTTGAAAATATGACTGTTAAAATTAGGGGAAGGGTAAAGACTGCTTAATTGACTTTTTTTCTCCTAACTGCAGTTGACACGGTGAACCAGACTGTGCAGCAAGCAGCGGAACAGGCAAAGAGTGCTGGTCAGAAAGGTACGGATGGTGTTTATTTCAAAATGTCACAACAGTGAAATCCCAGATAGGGCCCCCAACCCTGCCTTGGTCATTGTCCCACACCTGGTGGGAAAGGTGTTGCAATGATGCTACAGTTACCTTTGTTTTTTCTCTTTTAAAAGCACTTGATGAAGTCTACAAAGTTGCTGAAACTGGTGAAAAAGCTGTAAAAAATGTAGCAAACCAAGCAACTTCATGGGGCAAAAGCTTTGGACAATAAAGATCAAAATGTATCACCACTGAAATTTTTGTAAACAAGTTTCTACTACATAAATTCTTAAATAAAGACATTACTTAACTCTGTCTGGCTTGCATGTATTTCTTTGGTTACACATATAAAAACACATTTACAATCACTCGTCTAGAAAGACTGGATTACTGCACAGAGCAGGCAGCTAGAGCTGTGCCAAGCTACTAATGCAAAGATGTTTTTTGGCTTGGGTTTGGTTTTTTTGGTGGGGTAAGGGCTGGCTTAAAGTGGGCAGAATGTAAAGTCAAGCACTTCAGAGCTGGTCTCCTATTCTGTCACTGAGCCTAAATTCTAATTTTGTGGTGTGTGTGTGTGTGTGTGTGTGCGTGTGTGCAAGTCTCACAAGCCGAGCACCCAACAGCCCTCTCCAGACAAGGTAAGAACCTCCGCCTCTCTTTGTTCTTCTGATCTTACTGGCAAAATCTCATTTAGCTCCTGTGTTGAGGAAGGCTCAAGTATGTTTAAGGTATATGTGACTGCTGTAGAGCAGCACTGTGACACTCAGAGCCTGTGCCAGCAGCAGGAGGTTGCACTGCTGCCAGCAGAGCACAGCACAGGCATGACAAGGCAAGGCAGCCACCCTGTGCCACAGAGGAGGCACTGACCACGTCTGCAGGGCTCCTGTTAAAACCACAAAGGGACAGCAGCTGAAAGAATCAGAACCAGGTAATTTTGAGTAACTCATGAACAACCAGAAAAATCCTCAAAAGCCAGGAACCCTCTGTGCATATGAACTTAAAATGAAATCTTAGAGTCTGATACTACAGACTTCTCAATTAGTAACAATAGTTTAGAAGTTACTTACCCAGCATCTTGAAATCACAGCAAGAATTTCCATTGCTTTGACACTTCTTCATGATGGTGACAGTTGCCATCAATGAAAAACAGGTGTAGTACTGAGTTCTTTGCTGGCATAAAAAAATCATCATTCTGCTTGCTCTTCTGTATAATAGAAACATTTTGCATTTAGTAGTTTGCAGCTGGTATATGACCCTGAGCACTGTGGTTGTCATCCTTATGTGATTCACTTGCAGCTTTAGAGTACTTGCTGAGCTGCCTTTCAAAACAAACTATGGACCTAAGCAGTATTAGTGCTGAATGAGAGGTTGCAAACACCTGGCAAGGATGTGCTTTGCTCTAGGTGTGGTTCAGAGCAGTCACAAATCTGTGTTCAGACCTAACTTCAGGTCCTGACTGGCTCACTGCCAGCAAGTTTCTTAGTAAATGTCTAGTGGCATATAAGTGAATACAAGCAGTGATAAGGTTATTAGCTGGCAGATAAGACTTGTGTGTGTGTGTGTACATTATATGTAAGGAGGGTCCAACACCTAACTGAAATTACAGTTTTAGTAAAAAACCCCCAGTATTTATAACATGCATCCCAGAGAGTGATTGCTTTCTTCAACTGTGGCTTGGGCTGGGAAAGGCTAGAGCTGCTTTGTACTCAAACCTCTAAAATCACATTAACTCATAGAAATCGTACAAAATTGTGCTACTTTCTTCTCTCTGTTGTTGCTAGGTGTTGAATGGAACGTGCACAAAATGTGGTAAGGAACATGGGATTCTTTTTTTTTTCTTAACTGATCACATTAGGACTAAGGTCAACAATGCTCAGAACTGGTACAAGATTATTTCAGAGTAGGCTATCACAAGAAGTCTGGAATCACTGATAAGGATTTGGTTCTTGTGTTTAACTAAAAAGGACAAATCAGCTGACGTGCTCTTAAGTCAGCCTCCAAGCATTTGTCTCCTCAAGGATCTCGACTCTTTGAAAATACCTTAAGTTGTTGTTACACCCACACTTAGAAATGCTTGGATTCATGTCTCCAATACTGACTGTTTAACAAGAGGTCAATAACTACTGCAGTCAAGCTGCTGAGTAGAGATCCAGTGAACCATAAGGGCACATCTCTGGGTTTAGTACAATCCTGCCAGGTGGTAAGTCTGCTTCTATTTCAAGATATCCTCAGAAAATAAGTGTTAATATGTGTGTACACAAGAATAGAGGATGCTAATGAACCAGGGAATACAGGCATGGTGCAGGCTTTGGCTTTTTTTCCCTTCCAAGGTGGTAGGAGGTAGAAGATATCCCAGTTAGCTATCTATGGCAGCTTTCTGTATGCTCCAGCACTGAAAGGGTCCCATTTGTCAAGTCTGCTCAGCCAGACTAGGGCTGCTTTACTAGCTATAGAGGAAATTAAGCAGGGGAGGGAGAACAACAGAAAGAATTTTGCATTAAATGGAATTGCTGCTAGATAATGCAACACTGCTTTTAAGATTATTTCTAGTTTTTTATAATACAACTGTTTCTTTGTGAGCTTTCAGCTCCCACATTTTGGGTACAATTTTTCAGAGCTGAATTGTTAAAGTCATAATTTTGTTTTACTTTATAATGGTTTATGTAAAACCGGCACTGAAGGATATGATCCAGGATATAGATCTTGTGTTTAGAGATTCACACCTTGATCACAATAATTCTCAAGCTCAAAGGGTTCATATTTTTTTAAAATAGTATCAGTGTGTATATATAGACATATATACATACATATATATGCTGCACTTATTTAATCTGTAGTAGTTTTACAACCCTAGATGCTAGCATATGTGATGGAGCAAGCAACTAATTAAAACACCTCACACAGGTTTATTGCTCCATGCTAAGTACTAAATAGCTCTTCACACAAATTTAAGAGGGCAAGCTAAAAAGACCTGAAATGATTTACTAAATATATGCAACTTCAAAATCTTGCTGACAGGCAAGTTCAAGAGACAAAGATCCATATTAGTGAGCCCCTTAAGATAATTCAGGGACAGTATCTTAGTAGTGGTCAGGTAACGAATAGACCATGCGTGCTTTGAAGAGCTGCAGATGGTAGCTACAGAAACCTATTGCATGAAAAAGAAAACAGTAATACACCAGCATAGTAGGTTTGGAAAGGTCAACTTTTTTTTAATAACTGCTCTCTCTCCAGGTTATGTCATGCAGTTACAAAGTAGTTAGGAAAAAGCATGAGTTTCTGGGAGGGACTAATTGTCTTTTTAAAAAAAACATTCATATTCATTACATAAATAACATCTGGCACTTCAAGGGGACTCCAAGGGACAAAAGCCTTACACTTCAAAAACTGTGCTTGATCCAATATTTTGTTGAGGTCCATTTTGTTGTACTTTATGTTCAAAACTTTCAAGACCTCAAGATGCCAAAAAAAAAAAAAAAGGCTGTGTGTGTTAAGACAGTGAATTAAGTTTATAGCAGCATTCTAGCTCCTCTGTGGTTTGGCCAATGATTTCTGGGTTCAGTTTCACTCTAGTTGTTCACTGAGGCAGTATTTAATTTTCAGAAAGCCTCTGAAAGGAAAAGACTGAAAAAGAATTCCAAAAAACCTAAGTATGATTGCTTACCAAATTCAGAATATCCCTTTCTTAAAAAAAAAAGGAAACAACCTATAGTCAGAATAGTTATGTAGACACTTGATTAAAAACATAACTAGAGTTGCTCAATAGTTTCAGCTTATAAAAATATTAGTCTGTCAGCGCTACAAACGTCATGATGATAGTCAAACTAGCTTGAACCAGCGAGGAAAGGCAGTCCTGTAACAGTAGCACAGTTAAAGAAAAAATATTGCCTTAAGAGAATCAGGCCTGAAGCTTTACTACAAATAAAAACTAGACTCCTATCAAAGTTAATCCCTGCTGGAGGCCCATTCTTCCTTTGACAATGCCACAGCATTGATCATACAAGGCCTTACTGAAAGTGCTGAAGCCAAAATTATGTCATTAAACAAAAGTGCATGAAGTAATAATGAGCTAAGTGCTCATATAGTACAGTATCTGATCTGAAGTCTGAGAAGTGGCTCAGGTGGCAAGACCACTCTTTCATACATAAAATGTACCATTTTGTTTTGTAGGCGAAACACCCAGAATGGCCCCCACAAGTGCAGATGAACTGTTATCTTCAGATACATACTTGTATACAATTTCCTAATCCATGGATTTTTATTGTAAAAAAGACTAGTTTGGAACTGAAACTAATTGAGAATAGAATCCACTATAATATCAGAAGAAAAGAAATTTTGTGGTTACATGTAAACTTGTGATAAGCTTTCTCAAGAAGAGGGTACATTAACAGCGAGGGGTGGGATACAACAAGGAGCGGTCATGGCCTGTTTATGTAAAGGTCAAACCAGCCTCATTGTACACTTTGAAGACTTTCTCAATTGCATTGACATAGGCAGCTGTTCTCAGGTCCAGACCCAGGTTGTATGTCATGGCAGTACGCATGATTTGCTGAAACAGAAAAAGTCACATGTAGTTTCTGCAAGTTTCTCCATAATAGCTCAACAATTTTGCTCATTGGATCCAAGTAAGGAGTAAGAGGATCTGCTAGATTGTTATCAGAGCTCTGATCCTTTATGGATCAATTCTGAAATTTCTCAATTCCCCTTATAACTGAGAACTGAAAGGGAAGAACATCTTTCCCAGGTTACTATATTACCACTCTTCATGATAAGGAGAGATGAGATGTTTCAAGTAGCCTTTGTCCCACTAATTAAACATACAGCATAGAGGAATTAATCTAAAACTGTTAATGGTGAAGTAAAGCACGCTTATGTACATGTCCCAGATTAGCCAGGTACAAGAAGACAACTAAAAAGTTTCTACTTACTACAGCTTCTACCAGAATAATCTCTAATGTTTATTATACCCAGTTAAAGTTGGTCATGATGGCACAGAGCAGAAATTCTTCATACTCTGACTTCCATTAATCATGTACTATTTATCTACTCTTTAATTGCAAAGAAATTCTGTACAACCTATTAAAAAAACTGTCCCAAAGTCATGTGAGTTTTCTTTCAAGTAAGTATATATGGTTATGCAGTATTTACCCGGGCAGAACGTTCCATCGTGTAAGCCAACCCAGAGTGCACAATATCTTTCTCAGATGCACCCTGTAACAACAGAGAGTAATCCAAGGTTTAATCCAAGACACAAAAAGGTCCTAGTTGTGTGCTGGGGCCAATGACATGTTGGATTCCCATAATTACTGAAGCTTGCTCACTCACGCTCTTGTAATGATGGGTGAAGAACCTAAATAGCCTTTACTGTGTTTCTTGAAGAGCTAGCTATGGACAATTCAATTCTAAAACATCAGATGTAAGCACTGAAGACTTTTATGAGCCTAGCTTTTAGAAGCATGCTGCTACCATTATCTATTGATGTAGTAAATACTGTTTTCAGCCTTCAGACCACACAGTAAATATTCAACAAAAAAGTTTCCAAGAGTCAACAACCTATTGCAATTGTTTTTTGAAAACAGGTTTTAGGAAGGGCATAGATCCCAAATTCATGTACTCCACATTATATTAGCCCTCAGCAACTCCACATCTTTATTCCCATTAAAATTTTAAATACATAGAACAATAAGCAGTTGAAGAACTAGGATGACTCATTACAGGTTCAATGTTCCACCGTCCTGATTGCTGTAATTTACTAATAATTTGACATCTTGACAAAACACTTGTTTTCCCTCAAATACTAATTTGGTCTGGAAGTAGAAAGTTCAAGACCGTTTCTATGGCTTGTGCTTAAGAACTCCAGCATTTGCTTTAAGCCAGAGAACCCATCACACATGCTACTCACGTAGCCTAACACGTGTAATATGCACAATTCTGGATCAGGCTAAAGTCTACTGCTATCATCTGGCTGTGGTCCAAGTTTATATGCACTTCCCCTGATTTATTCCTGAGGAAGCATGGTTTGATGTTTTCCACAACTTGCTGGACTTTTTTCCCCTCCTCATTTGTCCCTCCTCCTCCTGAATTTGAGTTTATAAACCAAACTAACCAATGCTTTTAGTTTCCATGTATCCCTTGGCAGAGTACTGCACACCTGAACTGTCTGCTCTTCTAGGAACCATCTCCTTATTCTTCATTCCGCACTTCACTGTGCTGGTTTTGTTGGAACACATCTCAGTCTCTTCCAGTATTCCCTGCAGTGAACAATCTATCCAAACCCACCTCTTTTCATATCCCTCATTCTACAGATCACTGTCTCCACCTCAGGCCTCCTTCAGGCTAGTAGTACCTAGGTTGGTTCATTGTTCCATGCTGGAGAGGCTCCTGTACTTTTATCTATCCTTGTGATCTTGCTCTGAACTTTTTCTACACTTCCAGTGTTTGAAGATGCAGAGACTTAACCTGCATACAGTATTCAGAAGGCAGCACACTCTGAATTCATATGGTAGTATCATTAGCCAGTCTTACCCTTTTGTTGGAGTCTGAAACACAGAGTGTTTGCCCTTGTTTCTGGTACCTAGCTCTGAGATCCAGAAGAACACTGGATTTCATATAACATGAAATTTATGAGCATGTTTTCCTAGTGATACATAAAAAACCTGTTAAAGTTAAATAGAAAAGCTAAAAGTGTGAGTGTATAGATTAGAGAGTTTTTTTAAGTCACTGGGTGAAAAAGTTTAGAGTTTAAAATAGTTTAGAATGCAGAAGACAAGATGGAGGATTTAGAATGTTGTTTCTTTTCCTTCTTCTATCTTCTTCATGTTCTTCTTCTAGAAGTTTTTGGGTAATAGTAGGTGATTGGATAAAAAATGCCACAATGCAGTACACAGGTGATGGGTCATTGGGTCATTAGGAAAAATAATATATGTGTCTACTGTTAATTGGATAAGAATGAGTATAAAGATAAAAAACCTGTAGTTCAGGGCCATTTTGTGCCTTAAAAGCCAAAGTGAGCCACAAGGCCATTTTGTACCATCAGAAAGAAATGAGCCAAGTTGCAGTGAACTGAACTTGTGCAGAAAGTCTGGAGAGACCTGCCAAGTTTTGTGATAACATCCTAATAAACACAAGAAACAAGATCCTAACAGGCTTTGGAGTTTTTGTCCTGACCCAGAGAACTGTAGTAAGTGGGACTCCCTGTGAAGTAGTATCCCCAAGAAGGTCAGCTCAGAGGAGACTGAGAAACCCAGGAGTGAAAAAAAAGTGCAGAAGAAGCACAGCAGCAGAATCAAGAGAAAAAAAAAAAATCAGAAAAAATTTCTAATGCTGGATTTGCTTATTGATTACTATAGATTTCTATGCTTGTATTTTGTCATCACTTTCAAATTTCCTTTTAAATGCAAATGGATGAGCTCACAACCCACCAGTTCATGTGGCAATTTCCCCACCATGTATTGCTACACAATAGATAGCAATGAATTTTGCCTGACATTTCTTTGTCTGTTGATTCACTCTTAAAGGGACAAACTAAAGTTTTTCACCCAGCTGTTATTCTGGAGTTACAGAAACATCAAACTGTCTGTGGTGTGATATCTTGTTCAAAGTTTTTTGGGAAACCAGGCAAACTATATCAACAAGAACTTCAAAATACAAAATGCATCTATATTAAAATTTGCTTTTTTATGATACTGGAGGTATTTTGTATGGGCTGAAGTAAAAAAAAATCAAAAATAGCTTATTTCCAATATTCTGGAGCAGTTCAGATCATTTGCTTACTTTCTTTGTCTGGCCATCAGGCTAATTATGTACTAATGATTTGCTTGGGGAAGTGCTCCATGATAGCTACAATGGTAACATTTAGATTTCAGTTATAATATCAGAGTACAGCTCCCCTAACAGTAAAAAACCCAGCAGCAACGACTTACCGATATCCTGTCTTGAAATTCTGCTGTAGGCACAACTGGAATAGTTCCCCCATGTTTCCCAAATTTTCTTTCCAAGCTTTCCTGGACAGACACTAAAAAAAAATTGAAATTCTGAAATTCCTAAACAGCAACAAAAAGCATTTGAGATAACACAATCTCCAAGTTAAGAAAAAGATGAGAATTGCCATAACTCTCCACTACCTTAGAAACACCTTACAATGTAAGATTTATGAGAAAGGTTTATATTAAAAACTATGCAGGTGTATGTTTTGTCAAGTCCAGTGTCTCAAGATTCTCAGGTTTTCTACAGAGTATTGTTTAAAATGGAGCAACATCCTCCAGTTTTTCTTCACTGAGCTTCCTCTCTTCACGTAATTGTTATTGTTTCCCAGAAAGTAGGCAGCACAGAATGACCATAAGTGGAGCTATGAGCCATAAGCAGGTTTTTCCAGTGCCTGTCTCTATTATATTATTGGCCTTTATAGAAATCCTTTATTGCTGTATGTGCAGAACAATGGCACCCACTTGAACTTTGAATGCTTCCTAAATACAAAGTGTACAGCTGAAAGACATTTATTAAGAAGTAATAAATATTTCACTTAAGTGCCTTGACTTTACTATTTTACAAAACTGAGGGAAGAATTAAAAGATTACCAAAAAAGTATGCATTTAACTTAAGTCATTAGAGTTGTAGATCAGTTAACCTATAAAACCTTTTCTATTCTTTAGTAAGCAGCAATTACAGACTTCTGGGGAAATTGTGGTGAATGTAAGAGTTCTATTTTTTTATCCCACATTTGGTGTTTGCTGGTCCAGTCCATTAATTAAACAGTGCTTGGAAGCAGAAGTGAGCACTTACTGAGCAAGTGGTAGTTTGAATCTCTTTCGTATTTGAAAGTCAAACGGCCATAACTGACGTGGTTCAAGTTTTTCAGCCATTCAAAGTAGGATACTGTTACACCACCAGCATTCAGGTAAAGGTCCTGCACAGGAAGAATAAATATTTTGAATTGTGACCATGTGACAAAGACAGTGCTATCATACTCTGCAAAAGCAAGCAGTATTATGTATGAGGCACCATTTTAAACTTCAGTACAGAAGACAATCCACTTCTTACTCTTACAGGACAACACCCTCTTCTTCAGTTCAGGGATTACTTCTACTGATTTACATTTACTGATTTACTTTTGTTGTGACTTTAAAACACATCAAGTTCAGGTGCACTTGACAGACTTCTATTTTAGCACAAATGTTTAAGAAAATTAGAGCATTCTTAGGTCATCTCAGTGAGCAAAGGCTGAAGATCAGCTACTCTATCTAGCAAGATCACTTGATCAGGACACCCTTTCTCTGTGTAAAAATTGTCATTATAGCTGGATAGGTCTTATTCTTTCAAATTATCACCAGACATATTCTATACACTCTGCAGTACACAGTTCTGTCAGAGCTTCACCCAGACTCACCATGTCTACAAAGTGGCCAAAATATTTACTCTTCCTTCTTCCTGTGTTTAATGCACATTTTGATTGAGCAAATGTCAGCTAATAATCACGGTCATTTTGGTCATTTACAGTTGTAATGAGGTCTTTAATAAATATTATCATTCTTCAGGAACATTGACACCCACTTCCTAGACATCAATTTTTAAAAACCACTCTTGAGAGAATGAATGGCCATTAATAAAAGCCTTCAATAACTAGCACCTTGCTACTCTTCACAAAAATATTCCTTTTGAACATTTTTCAACGTTCCAATGAAACTCAAAGGTCATGATAGAACCTTACAGGGATAACCATGATATTCCTCTCCAAGAAGATTTTGTCAGCTTCGGGAGTTGTAGGCCCATTGGCACCTTCAGCAATAATCTGAAAGAAATCACAGCACAGAGTAACTCAGAGGTATAGATTTGGGTTAGTTTATAGTTTATATATGCTGATTATAGAATATTAGTATTTAAATAGACCATCCCTAGTTTTCATTTCCATTTGAACTCTTTGACTTACTTTTGCTTTAACCTTGTGTGCGTTGGCCTTGGTCAACTGCTTCTCGCTGGCAGCAGGGATGAGAATGTCACAGTCTGTTTCCAGAATGCTGCCCTCAAGTGGCTTTGCTTTAGGGAAGCCCATGATTGTCCCGTGTTGCTGTGTGAAGAAAACAAACCACAGTGGTTTTAGTGTGTTGTGCACTCATACGAATTTCTTCCCTTCTGACTTTCAGAGAGAGGAAAGGGAGAAGCAACAGTACTAGAGGGACAGCACATAACATAATTCCTATCCTTACTTAGACATAAAAAGCAAGCAACAAAGCTTCAGGAACACAGTTCCCAAGACTGAAGCATAACTCCTGTATGCATAAAGACAGTGAAAAAAAAAGGTCCCTCTCAGTTCTTAAAATAGATTTCAAACAGAAATGACTCACTAGTCTGCTACACCCAGGATAAGTTGCATCACATAAGATAAGTGGTTTTTAAAATTCAGTACAACAATGATAGCCTTTGTTTAGTGATAGAATCTTCATTCTTTTGAGAAAGAGGGTGATAAAGAAATTCAAATATTCCCTATATAAAAGAAGACACATCAAATAAGCCCCTAAGAAAGCTTAAGCAGAAGATTGTATTGTAGTGCCTGTGAACTGTCCCATCAAGTCTGCTTCACTTGGAAACTGAAATAAAAAGACCACATCCAGTTTTCATTATGAACTACACATTCAAGTCACACTGCCAGACAGGCTTTCGTTCTTTCAAAAACATCCAATACGTGAGAAACAGCAAAAGTACACTTTGTACATTTTAAAAGACCATGTGCTTGTGATTCTCAGTAAGGAATCCTTCAGGAAACCTCCTTGCCCTGGTTCCTTGAGACATCCTTCCTAGTTTAGGCAGGAAAAAGGCAATATAATAATAATTCCAATTCTGAAAACAAAGTAATTAGCCTGCACACATACAGACTTTTTTTTGAGAGTCAGGTCAAAGGGTAAAAAAGGTACCACCTGCATTTGTCTTGTTGAGGGTAAGAAGGAAAGTCAGAAGAATCAACACTTCTAAGCCACTTTGTAAGGACTATTTGCAACATGCTTTAAATATCACAAAACCAGTCAACAGTCATCAGTCATTCTGTGTACTTGCAAAGCTGGCAAAAATGAAACTTTCTTTGCTTAGCTAAGTTTCATACCAATTTGAAATCTTCTAGTTCCTTTGGGTCAATCCCATCAGGATTCCAGATGGAACCATTAAACTCTCCAACAGCGACGCATTTTGCACCAAAACGATGCAAATATCTCATAGAATGCAAGCCCACGTTACCAAATCCCTGAAGGCGGAAAGAGAAAGGGAAAAGTAGTTAACCCTCCAGCTAAAATGATGGCTACTACTAAGACTTATATAGTTTTAAATAGTTCTTTATCTATCTATTTTTATTTATCTATTGACACACCTTGGCATTAGATGATGTGTTTAGATGGAAGAAATCTACACACATTAGATTCTTGTCTGAATACCATTGCAGAAATTATGCACTGTAGCCAGCAAGGTACAGTTGTGGTAAGTGTTTTATACTGGAAATATAGAAAGGAAGAGGTAATGCTACTAAGAAATTCTCAAAACCATGATGTTTATCAACTTGGGAACACTCTGTGTATGTACTTTATGATAGCAGATTTTTGTATGACTACTGACTTAATTCCACGCCATTAAGTTCCTTTACTTCCAGAATGCTGATGTTCTGGAAGGAAAAGAACACATGTAGCAGACCAAAAAGTCATATGATTGATGTTGAAAGCTTGTCATATGATTCTGGGCTGAAAAAAAGCTGAATAATCGATTCCTGTATAACATAGCTTCAAATTATACTTTTTGCTTACATGTTAGAAGCAAACCTTGATAGAAGAGTCTGTCATGCCTTAGGTCTCTTTGAAATGCTCTAGGCTCATTTGCCTACGAAAATTTTCTGCTTTTCTTATGGCCATGTTTTCAGCCTAAGTTTTGCTTAAGTGCCTGTTGGTTAGTCCTCTGCCAGGCATGAAAATGCTGAAGTGCAGGGAGACAAATGTGCTGCTGGGCCTGTGCAGGGTAAAGATGTTTGTTCCAGCCCACAGGTCAACTAGAGGACAACCTGGAGGTTACAATTACTCTGCTATTTCTAACAAGCACTTTTTGAAAACAACAAAACAAACCAGTTCCTCAAACCCTCCAAGTAACATACTGTTTAAAGTTGAACAAGTTTCTTTTCTTTGAAATTTTAGGAATTATAATGCATACTACTGACTATCAAACCCTTTCAAAATTCAACTATATAAATCCCAGAGTCTTCGGAACACCAAAAACATACATTCAACCATACAAACTTAGGATAAGGTCTTAGTTTCTATTTTTCCAACTGCTTATTCCATAATGGAACAAGAACATAACCCTCAATTCCTCCTCTCCTTAAATATTTTACTGTAAAACATTGCAACAAATTTTGTGTTGGTAAAGCCAGTGTCACAGCTCACTGAAAAGTGTGCTATGCCTTAGTTTAAAGAACTCCCAAAACAGTGTATCATTTTTGTGTTTGCAGCTTATAAGACCATAAAGACTACAGAGATTTGGCTTTGTGCCTGTGCAAAGAAATTTGCAATGCAATTGAAATTTCAGTTTATAAAAACCAGTCCAAAATAAAGGACACTTATGCTGAATTTAAGAATAAAGGTTAACTTGGAAGTTTTAAAGCTCTCTGTTTTTAAGGGCTACTACAACTTGTTTTAAAAACAGCTCTACTGAAAGTCCGTGTACTACTTCTTTTCCTACAGTCCAAGGAAAAAAGTTACCTGAACAGCAAATGTTTTATCTCCAAATCCTGGAGTCATTCCTAATAAGCTCATATATGAGGCTTCATTGATGAAATTTTCAATTCCATGGAAGACACCACGACCAGTTGCAGATATACGTCCATGGATCCCACCCTGGCTGATGGGTTTACCAGTTACACATGCATGTGCATTAATATCCTGTAAAACAGCAAAGGACTTGTGAGACATGGAATTAATCAAAGAACAGCTGGAACAACAAGTTTTGTGCACTTTAGACATAAGGGAAAACATAAATTGTAAGAATCGGACATGATATAGCTTAAACGCACTTAGTTTGTAAAGATGATTTCCTTCCTCACTGTGTGTGAACACCTCAGAATATTCTTTCAGGAAAGACGTGTAATGCAGTAGTGCATGTGGTTTGTGATTTTTTTGCTGCCTCTAAGTGTGTATGTTAACTTCAGTCTGTGTATCACGGTGACATCCACAAGCAAACAAATCAAAAAGCTTTCAGGAATGCATCTCAAAGTCAGCTCCTATTTACAGCCATACTCTCTTTACATCATTACTTTTGAAGTCTTAATTGTTTTAAGGGCTCAGACATATCCTTGAACTAGCTTTTAATTATCTTTAAACAGCGTTTAGTGTTCCTTTATAAAAAAGTCAGTTATTTTGCAATTATAAAACAAGGTAATGTAGTCAAAATACAGGGTGCTCTCAGAGGAAGTCTGCAGCTTTAAAGTCATATGGGAAAAGCTGGGTATTTACTACTTTTATTCAGAAAAGCAGCATTTACAATCAAGCCTCTATTCTTAATTTGGTGGCAATAAAATTAAGTTTTCCATATGCCAGTCAGCCAAGAGAAAATAGCACTGTTTAAAACCATAGCTGATTTTTCCAATTGGAATTAATGACTTGAAAGAAATTCTTCCAAACCAGACACTGGACCTCCCTCCTCTGTCACCAGTGGTTCCCATGCTCCCACACCCTGGGAGCACAGTCACACGGTGGCTTGGCTTCCAACACAAGTGAAAAAGTAGGGATGAAAGAGAATCCACTGAAACGAGTGTGCCAGCAGCCGGATGGGTTTCCATTCCACCAGCCACACATTCACTGGGAGGCTCCCTCCGCTCCATCCCTTGTGCCAAAGGCATTTGCATGCCTGTGGTGTAGGATGCTTGGTGAGAGGAAGGAAAGGAGCAGACAAAAGTAAGTGGAGGCAGAAGGGCTGGAGGAGACTAGAGCCATAATGAAGACTAAAACTATTTTCTGTTTGAAAACGATAGCGAGTTAACATATAACCCTCTTTAAGAACAACAGAAGTGATGCTGGGCTTGCTACAGAATTCCTAATTCAGCCTCCCAAAATACAGCTTGCTGCTCTCCATAAGCTGTATGCTCCCTCTTGTGGCATGTCAACTGTAACAAAGATTGGCAGGGGTGCTTCTGTGGAACAGCTTGGCTTGATGTTTTGATGGACTTTCAGGTTTTTATTCTCTTATATGATTTTAAACTATGCTTTGGGCTTCATGCATTCACAAAACAGGAAATATATTTTTATAAACACATGAAGAAATACAGCTTCCCACCATATATAGGAATGTACTTATCAAAGTCCTTTCCTGTGTACCAAAAGTCAGTTGATTGTGTCAGGAAGTTCAGAAGAGCGGAAAGGATTAATTTAATAAAAAACTTCAGCCATATATAATTCAGTGATCCAGCAACTTCAGATGGATTTTCTGGAACAGTTAACACAGTAGTTTATTAACAACTTGCATGGTTTGTCAAGAAAACAGAGCATGAAGTGAGGGCAGATCCAGGTCTTCCTAAAGTCACATATAAAAGCCACAGCTGATGTCAAAGTCCTAAAATCTTTGGTTTCAAGTCAATAAACAAAAACTTTTAACACACCTTGGGTGAAAACCAAAGAGCATGGCTTTTTCTGAGAACCTTGAAAAACAGCTTATAGCTAGCATCAAAGACTTCTATATCAGCACTGGTATCTCATGAACTTAGTTGGTGATGTTCAGGCATCAACTTTTGCTCCTTTCTTAACCCCTTTCTCCTCTGCAATGATGTTCTCCTTGTCTCTCCAGCCTTCCTGGGTCTGTATGGGAGGTTTTGAGCAAACTTCCCTTATGTGTTTTTATCTGTTTGATTTATCCTTCCCACTTGAAACTCCCTGAACACAGCTGTGTGCAGTGTGCAAGCACAGAGCCATTAGGTCTATATCTCAGATCCCTCTCACCAGAGTTATCTTTCCACTCCACTGAATGTAGTCCCTTGCACAGCTTCCATCTGTGTTTGGAATTACGGCTTGTTTCTCTTTTGTTTGTTGCTCATTTTCTGCTCTTAGCCCCCTTCCCTTCTTCTCCCATGGTCACTTATCTTTTTAGTACTCCTTAATCACCTTCCTTTTTGCTCTTGATTTCCCAACCAGCTGGTTATCTGAAACATCTTCCTCTAGAAACTGGTTTTGATGGATTGTTCCCCTTTTTATAGCCTTGTCAGAATTCTCACTTTCCTTCTCCATTACCTAGTCATTCTCAACAACAGCTCTGGAGTTCCACTGCGGCTACCACTCTCTCTTGAGCATACTAACAAGCAACATGACAAAAATTAAGTAAACTAACATTCTGCCCCACCCCCCCTTATTTGCATTTTTAAATTAACTTTGCAGAAAAGTGTTCCTGAATCCTCTCATTTTTTTTTTTTTTTATTTTTCAATAGGATACTGCCATACAGAAGGAGTCTAAAATGAAGCTGTGGTAGTATAATTTCACTTTTAATCCTCAGTAGTTATATTCTTTTCTGTTGTCATTGAATCATAAGAATGTGTAGGACTACACAATAGGGTGCAATTATCAAGTGGAAAGAATAAGAAATTAATCCATTTGAAGACTTCTCTATCAGGGTTTTGTTTAAATTTTAAAAATGAAGCTTTTGTATTAAACTGTATGATAACTCTTCAAAACAGCAAATCTTAAAGCAGGTCACTTGCTGTGATCCTATTTGTCAGTCTTAATAATACAGTGCTGTTGTATCACAGTAAAATACACATTTTAGAGCAATAAGTGAAATGTTAAAACTCAATGCTTTGAGGCAGTAGTTTTGGTCTAAGTAGGACTTTGAAGTTCTGACTGAGGGAACTAGTTGCCACCCTGCATGTTGAAGTCCTTCTGAAGTCGTATTTTTGGCTTTTTATCAGATATCATACTTTAATTAAAATATTTATGTGAACAGCAAAAAGCAAGTAATGTTTTACAGTGGTATCCCTAATGGAGAGCTCTGTGTAAAAGTGATTTAACTCAACTAATCCACATGCCACAGCTGATTCCTCAAGCATTCCTTTTTTCCTTCCATAAGGTACCTCAGAATGTATTTCAGACTTAAAATAATAACTTGTGCCACCCCACCTCCTACTGTCCAAGGCTTCAGACAAGTCTTATGCCAGGAGACTGCCTGAGGACAGCCAGGCCTGTCCTGAGCAGATGTGCCAGGGTGAGGAATGTGGTGGATGGCACCAGTGGCCGAGGCACACACCCTGCTGTAGGACTGCACAAAGTACAAGGAAAGAGTCTTTCCATTTCAAAAGGAGCTGGGATAGGCAAATCTGCAATAGATTAGCACATTAACACACTCATACACAGCTACTAACAAATGAGTTGTCCAAAATGTATTTTCCTTTGAACTGACCTGTTTAAAGAATACAACGGAAGTGTTTGGTTAACAGGCACAAATAACCCCACTGACACAAGGACAAAGGCCAAACCAAGGGCTAGCATCAAAAAGTAATTTTTTAAAACTTTTTTTTTTTTTTTTTTTTTATTGCCTCCCTGGCTGTAAATTATGTCAGTGTCCTGTTGCTTTACACTCTGAAGAATTTGCTGAAGTCCACAATAAAACTTGTTACTTCTAGGAGACTGCAGAGAATCTTAAAACTTTTGCAAGTTATACCAAGTGTGAACTTAATTTGCATGGTCTCTTGAATGAACAAAACCATAAGCATGTATTTAATAAAAGCTGTAAATTCAGTTATCAGTTAACAGCTTTAAATTAGTAATTACAGTACCAATGAAGAACAGAGGAAAATTATAGAAACAGAAACCCATTTTAGACTATATGCCTTTAAAAACAGTGTATTTTCTTTTTGTTGAACAGTTGCAATAAGTATTGTATCAGAGAAGCTTCTTTTAAGGCTAGTGTAAGAATATTATCCTTACAGCTATTTTTCCTTTGCTGTACCCTAAAATCCTCACACCACTGAGGTTGTCACAGTTTGCAAGAATATTTCTAGATCCAAGAAGTAAACAAATTGATATGATTAGGCAACTTTTCTGCTTGAAAGTCTCTGCTTAAGACTTACATAGTGTCCTATGGTACTGGCATAGGTGTCAGCAATCCAGGACATCTCCCTCTCCCCTGTGCTCATATCAGGAGCAGGCACATCCACACCAGGTCCTGTTGGCAACAGTGAAAACAGCTCTTAAGGATCAAACACAAATAGTTATTTTCAATCATTATTCCCTTGGGAACTGTGCAGAGAAGAACCGTTTTCCTGTTTAATCCTTGGTTTATTATGCACGCAACATATTCTTCTGGATTCAATGCAGTTTTAGATGCTGTGTCACACCTTTCTAAAATACTATCAAAACCCCCAACCTTTACATAAGCCATTTGATAAAAGGTGAAGGCCACATCATCAATAAAAAATCACGCATCAAATGTGGTTTGGGTTTTTTTGCAGGGAGAGTGCTGTCTACTGTGACATTGATTGGATTCTTCAGCGTAAGAATTTCCTTTCTGTTCCTGGGTAAGTTTATATATTGAAGGTAGGCTGTTCCTAGTCACTGCATGTAGAACATGCACTTGATTTTACTACTTACTTCAAGAAAGGTTTAATTTCTCTTTCTTGATGAAATAAACCCTTAAAAGAAATCTCTCACATCTGTTGAAATAAAAAAAAAAATCTGTTTTTTGTAGATAGCTAAAAATAGTGTTTCCCCAGACTATTTAAGATTATAGAAACTTGTTAATCAGGATATTATATGCAACTCTGCCCCAACAATTTTTTCTAAGTATTTTTAAAAGGTTTGTGAAAGTTGTGTAGCACCAACCAGAGAGCCAAAATGTAAGACAATTTTATCAAGGCATTTTAATTGTCACTGAACTAATGATCACTATAGCTTGCATTGTGTATAGTAAAACCATAGTCACATGTAACATCAGTAAGTGTGTTTATAAAGGAGCTTAATTTAGATGATAATACTCTGGAAGAGCAGATGACAAACATTCTGGCTGAAGAGCAAGAAAATGCAGATAAAAGGATAGATATTCCTAAGGCAGTTAGATATCAGGAATACATGACAGACCTTTAAGTAGTTACATGCCTCGTTATTCATTTGAGTAAGAACCTTCTCTGGGTAAAGCTGCTCCCTAACTAAAGGTTGAGCAGGTAATATTCAGCTTTCTGCAGAGGAGATGTCCAGGCAGCAAAGCTACCGGAACAGCTCGGGGCTGAGTGTGAATGAAGCCCCTACTGACATTACAGAAGCAGAACAGAGGTTCTGTTACAACAAGCTCCTATGCTTCTTGCCTACGCTTCCCTTGCAGCCCTGGTTGCCATGGGTGAAGCCATCAGCTTTTGCTGGGGTGGATCTTCTATTTCCTTCCTCTCTTTCCTCAGATACCTGCCAAAAGCCTCAACTGAGACGCCAGGAAACAGTAACAGTGAAGAGTTTGCTATTAGAGATTAAAACTGCAACAAACATGGTCACCATTTTATGCTCTAACTCTGAGAGAAATGTGATTCATTTTGGATACTGTGACCTCAGCTTCTGTGGCTTCTCATAGCAGAACAGCCACCAGAAAATGTTAAGACATGGTTCCCTTTAAAATGCAGTAGGATGCAATGACTCAATTCTTTGTGGTTCTTGCTGAAAGTTCTGTACCCAAATTGTTTACAGTTCTCAAAAATACTGTTATTTAAGGATATTACCTAATGGACACTGCCAGTGCACAACAAACCAGATTCCTAAATTTGAATAGTAAAGCTGCTCCAACATACCAATAAAGCCCTTTTTTGCCAGCTCCATGGTAAACCTTCTTGTGATCTTTTCCAATTCATTGTCCTACAGAGAAAATGCAATAAATATCAGAAGAAATCATTAGTGCTTACAAGTATTTGCTCAAACTTAGCCCAAGCAGAAGCAAACGCCCTCTTCTTTTAAAAGGATGATTCATAATTTATATAATTTATATGCCACTCCCTAGCAGACCATTGGTATTCAGGCAGCACAAGAAACATTGGGCTTTCTTTCTGTACATTCTGATCCGTGACAAGTCAGGAGCACGGCACAGGAAGAGCCACCTGTGCCCACAGCAGAGATTTCCAGCAAGCAAATCTGATATCCCGTGTGAACGATTTACAACCAGCAGCAGCAAGAGCTGGCCCTGGCCAGTTGTGTAATCAACACAAGCAAACGACTTGACACAAATCCTTACAGGAGCTTTGAGCTTGGAATATCTGTTATGTATTCTAGTATTCCTTTCTGTACAAGTTGTTTTAATTAGGGCAAGAAGGCAAGCCTGCTGTAAACCTTTTATAAGCCAAGTTAGTTATTATTCACACTGGAACACTGCATAGAATGGTTTAATGGAGCATAAAACTATTAGTCAAAATAAACAAAAACATTTAACTTTTTTTGAAGAGTAACTTAATTTAAGCTTTTATTAACAATTTCAACTTAAAAAAAAAATCCAGGTTCCAAATTATTTGTAGTCTCCTAATTTTCAGAAAAAAAAAAATAAATTAAGTAATTAAAGTATTCCACCTCTGCAACACAGACCTTTTAAAAATTCTTTTCCTACCTATTTGCATGCACAGGCTATATTCAGCCTTTACAGAGGCAGAAGTGGCAGGAGGTTTTAAGTGGTCAATAATGCCCTTAGAAGAGCTTTTTTAACTGGCTGGCTTCAGTACTGCAGATAACCAAATTTTTATCTATGATTAGGCTTACTGTGTAGTTCTTGGGATTGATCTTGACACCAGCCTTTGCCCCACCAAATGGCACATCTACAAGAATGCAAAGGAAAATCATTTTACTTTTTCAACAATAAAGGCAGAACACATGAGAAAGATGTGTTAATTATATCTTTGATTTTAGCAGTGATTTTGGTTTTGTTGCGTTCATGGCTTCTGAAGTGTAAGTTATAATCTGATCTAGGTACTCTTATAAAAATGGGAGATCTTTCAAGGCACTTTGAAAATGGTCTTTAAAAGTCGAAAATTCATTATTCAGATCTTCTATGCTTAAATATCTCTTGTCCTTGACACTTGTAGAAATAATAAGTTTTACCTTTTATATTTTATTGGTTTAGTTCAAAAATTTTACTTTGGAAGTCCTAAGCACATCTATATACATTAGGAAAGTACTTTCTTTTCTTACACATAATATGGAGATTCTCTCCAAACTCCTCTACTATTTAGTAGCTGTGTACAAATTATACTTTTTTATAACCCATAAAGGAATTTTATCCTTCTCTCTCCACAACTCCCCCTGTCTAAATCCTTTACAGCCTCCATCTATTCCCCCTAAAATTAGTCCCCTACTAATCCAAGTTGGTCATGCTTGAATTTGAGTTCAAGATGCAGTACTTTCTATAGGAAAGGGTAGTTAGCAGAATTTGGACTTTTCAAATGAAAATGCAACTTTATTAGAAGTTTATTTTCAGTAATAGCAGAAGGAATATGTATTATTATTTTGGTCACTAGATTTTTCCCACCTTGCTACAGATTTAAGTTAGAGATTAGTGTCTGAAATACATTTTAATACTTTACATGTTTGGTTTTTTATGTAATTATATCAGTACTGATTGAAACTGAAGATTGAAATCTTGCTTGAAAAATGAACACTTACCAACCACAGCACATTTGTATGTCATGAGAGACGCTAAGGCTTTCACTTCATCCACACTAACGTCCATACTATAACGAATACCTGCAAAAGACACGGGAGAAAAAATAGGAATTCATTAAACAGCTTCATAAGTATTTATAAATTGGGAAGGGTAATTCTACATCAACAATCTTTAACGTGCAAGTAGGTCGTTTATCAATTTATTTACTCTAAGAGGTAAAGAACAAGACCCTGTTCCCTACTTAAATATCTTTTATGTAGCAGAAATTCACTACTTTAGTCATTTTCTATGAAGCAGCTTAATGGCAGCACCCAGCCTTAGGGAAAAAAGTGAATATTCCTTGTGCTGAAGATGCATCAAGCTGACAGGTAGCTAAGAGCAGAGTTTTCAAGAGGCTGATAAAGCTCTTCAGCATTCCACAATATCTTTAGCTTTGAACTTCATTCACTGTATATACAAGATTAACTTTTTTCCTGAACATAACTTATCAGTACAGGTTATAATCAAGGTCTTTTTGATAGAGTAATACAAGCTCCTGTTAAGTTCTAAGCCTTGGCTTCAAGGCCCTGGCTGCTAGGCACAACCATGAACCAAAACGCAACAAACCACTCTGCTAGTTTGAATTTTTTAAAAACATTTTGAGGGAATAATCCTACACCAGTGAGCTTGTGAGACCAGGCCACCCATCCCACATCCACATGGAAGCCAGCCCACACCTGCATTCCCTGCTCCAAGTCACTCAGCAGGGCTGCAAGTGTATGCTGACACATGGTACAAGTGCAAATTCAATTTGTTGTGTGCTGGCAGCAGCTCAGATGCAAAACAGATGAGCCCAGCACCCAAGGCAGTTCAAAGCTGAGTAAAAAAATGGTTATACAAAGGTAAGGAGACTTTTTACCTGCCTCTTACCAGTCTTCTGAAAAATTGAAAAATGGATCAATAAATTGAGTGCAATCAAAGTTAAGATTCATGTATCTGAAGAGAGCTATTGGGTAGGAAATATTTAACCAAACTGACAGGGCAGTTATAGAGACCTAGAGAAGCTTAAACATGACGCTCAAGATCAACATGTGCCCAAAGTCACATGGCTACAGCCAAAAGGGCCCTATAGCTGTATGTTTGTTTCCATCCAAGCTTCTCCTACTTAACTAAGCAGACAACAGAGCCATGAATAATTTATTATTCCCATCTCTACTCCCCAAATCTTTGGCTGCAGGCTCAGCCAAGTTGCACGGTGGTTTGTAGCAGGCACAGAGTGTCCCTTAGATGCCAGAACATGGCACCACAAATTTCCTATTATGTAAAGAGAAGACCATATTCAGGTTCTAAGGAGTGAAAAAAGGCCAGCATACATTACCCAAACTAAAGCACTGTGCTGCTATGAAAGCCATTCCTGAATGCTCTGGAAACAATCCCAGTTTCAAAGGAACTAAGTGCTGCTCAAATAAAGCTGAGGGCCAAGTGCTGCTTTCTTATGTGAGTTCAATCAGTAAAAGAAAGTACCATGCCTCTGCAGAACAGAATTTAAATTTATTGTGTATATGGGGGAAGGGTGGTCTCCAAAAGCAAACTAAGTAGTTTCTGACTTAGATAGCTGCAAGGAGTTAATGTCTGAGCTTTCAATAACCTTCTCATCAGAAATAATATTAAAAATTTAAGTAGAATCTATCAGAGCCCAAAAGACCAGTCAAAGTTAGAACATAAATTTGTTGGGTTTTTTCAATGTCTTAGATTGATCCTTCAGAGGAGCAGTTATCCTTCTGTCAAGTTCTGACCAAGAATGAACACTACCTATGGCACTGTCTGTCCTGCCTGAGGAAATCATTCCCTCTTGGTTGAGCAGGTACTCTGGGGACAGGTCTCATCTGAGTATTGCTCAAGCCAGCCAAGTTTGGAGTCACAGCCTATGTTGGCCAGAAGTGAACTCTGCCCCTCCACCCCCAGCTGAACTAGATCACCATGTATTTATTCAACCCATATACTTATTTAAACGTCCAAGCTGTGTATACAAAAGCAGTTTTGCTATAAATGTACTCCTGCAGGCATGCAAAATGTTATTTATTGATATATGAGAAGCAGCAAGGAGACTAAGTAGTTTGGGATAATTATCTTGTACAGTTTAAAGAGAGAAGCAAAATACAAAAAGAGAGGGAAGCCTCTTCTGCAAATCATACTGAAGATAGGATCTGAAGAGGTAAACAAGCAGCACTTTAACTAGAATGTAGTTAAGTAGCAGGACAGTAGCTAGTGCATGTACTCACTCCAGTGCATGTCAAAAAGTTAGATCTCTGGTTCCTTGTATTACAGTCAAGGACTACCACAAACTTTGATGTAATAAATGTTAAGTTTTCATATCAAGGTAAATAGGGAAAAAGCCCCAAAACTAACAAAGTACTGACAGGCTTTCAACTGAGCTGCCTATCTGTCAGCCATGTACACATACCAGAAAACAGAAAAATTTTGGACATGAAGCCAAAACTGTTATCTTCTGCGCAACTTTGTACTTCTGAATAAGGTTTAACTCCTTTTCCAGGCTTTTAAACAGTTGCAATGAAAATAGTTTGACTGCTGGCTTTATCTTTGTAAGTGGAAGATCAGTCAATTCTGAGACTTGTGCTGACTTTACTGGTCAGTCCTCTCTAATTAATGTGGTAAAATCTTTCATTAGGTGAAGTTCAGGGTGTGAACCCAGGTTCTCAGACAGGTGTGATGAATTTTTCCCTTCCCTGGCATACATAACATATAAGGAGTACATATAACATATAGGAGTACATAACATATAAGATGTGTTAATATTTCATTCCTTTTTACAATTCAGCCAGTTACTGTTTTCCAGGAATTGTAATTACTCTACAGGAAGGCCACCTCTTGATAGGGAAGTTATTTGTGCTAAGCTGTTAAGACTGATGAGAAGCAGGCATCTGAAAATGCTGTAGATTCCATCTGCAAGCAGATGCACAAAGATAAAAGACTTACTTAATTTTTATTCTATTTGGACATCATTGAAATTTAGTTTGACAGCTTCCTAAATTGGCAGGAGTATTGCCACGCATTTGTGTGACTCTTTTGGCAGTGTTACTATGCATTCAATAGCCTGAGCCTAAAAATGGACCATATGCAGAGATAAAATACTGGGTTTGTTTTTTCGGCTTTTTTTTAAGGTTCTCACTACATAAAAGCAAACAAAGTCACTGTTACGTAGCATGATTACAATTTTTTTAAACCCTGGCAAGTCCCACACAGTAAGCCTCTGGAAACTTGTGCCTTTTACAGCAAACTACTACCAAAAAATAGTCTGAAGGAAGCCTCAAGTTACAGTATGACTCATGGCCATGGAAAATACTTTTCATTGGAAAACATATGAATTCTTGTTCTAGATGAGAATTCTCCTTACTTACCACGCCCTAAGAAGTTAAACAGTATGCTAAGAGTGACTTTGTTTCTCTAAGCACAAAGGCTTCTAAATGAGGAAATGTTTTCACTTAAATTTTTAGCATTGGTCAGTAAAAAGAGAAGGCTTTATCACTACACTACAGTGTCTATGCTTTTAAAACTTTCTTTATTATCTGTATTATGAAAATATTATACTTCAGTCAGTTACCTCTTCACATCAAAGTAGTCCTTTTATCAGCACAGCTACTTTGGGTTCTATAGCAACAGCAGTCAGTTATCATTTTAATCATGTTATCATTTTGTAGCAAGGGGTGTACTAACATTACACATAACAAAGACCTTGATTTCCAAGAAAACTGGTTATACATCCTACTAGATTTTACACTGTACAGATTTCAGTATGTTCTGTAATGTTAAGTGTGTTTATTACACTTCCTTAGAAAATGTGGTGTACAGAGCCACCACAACAGGATGACTACTGCCTTTCTAGTACGCCTACAAATCTATTTGGGGAAGTTCGTGTCACTATTTTCTAAGATTCTTGTGCAGTGATCCTAAATGGTAGTACCTCCATGTGCCCCCACTACTAACGAGCATGAGGTATACAAAGTCTCTTAAAAACCTCTAAACAGTTGCCATAGCAACAGCTCAAAGCAAAACACTTGGTAAACTACTCCTCCCATACTAAATATCTTGCAAATCTTAGTAAGTCTTTCAAGTTCCCCAGAACCTGGAACACATTTGCATCTCCGTCTAAATTATTAATACCTAACCAAGGGTTTTGTCCTAGGTTGACTTTGGTGTTTTCTTCTGGTTGTCATGTTCTTGTGAACTTAGGAACTAATTTGGGTCCTTTACAGATGACAATTCCTGTTAATATGGTTCATTTGTTCTGCTCACCTCTGTCTGCGAAGTGCTTGCTCATCAAAAGAAACCTTCCAGAGCAGCAGCTATCTGACACTACCCGTACAGCGCTCAGCACCACAGATGTCATGATCTCCTTTGGAAGTTTCTAGGACTGACTACAGGCACGTTAATCTCCCAAGGAGCAACACTGGGTTCTGCAGCAGCTCTGTGGGTTAGCAGCTTGCCTGACCCTGTCCAAAGGCTTAAGTCCACAGTCTGAAGGAGTTTCAGTATAGAATCTCATCTATGTATTCTGCAAAATCCATGAATCAGCCCCAGCTCCTTAATATTTTAACTCTGGATTATGTATAATATTTTCATGTTTGGTAAGTACATAAGTGCAATTGGGATTGTACTACCATCAAACTAAATATTCACTGACACCTAACTCCGTAGGGACATATCATCCAAGCAATAAACTCTTTCAGAACACACACATTTTTCTAGAAAAGCAATCAGAAAAACATTCCAACCTTCCCAAGAAGGAAACTGCTGAGCCTTATTTAACCATTTGGAAAGTGTCGTAAACAGCACAGCAACCAATTTGTAGTTATTGAAGACAAAGAAATTCCAGATAAACCTAACAAAGCAAGATGAGTAATTCAGTACGGGAAAACAAGAACACTGTACACCAATCAGCAGCAAGAACCACTAATTCCTAAATTCAATTCACTAACTGCCAAGAGAGGAGATAAAAATATTTATCTCTTCCTACACAGCACTAGCCAGCTACAAAGGTGGGGCAGGACAGACATTCTTCTACAGAGACACCCCACTGTT